GCCCAAGGCGGCAAACTCTTCGAGGAACAATGCCGCAAGCTCCCATTTGCCCGCGGGCTCCTGCTTAAAAACATTTCGCGGTGATTTCATAATGCTGAAAACGCGTGTTGGATTCCACACTTGCAACCGGAACCTCCAAATCAAGCTTCTCAGTGCAGAACAGTTGCGCAAGCACAAATGGCCGCACTTAAGGTGAAAATGTCAGGGCTCAACTGCGCTGGCCACAGTTTGTGCAGAAAAGCTAGAGAAGTCGGCCAGCCGCTGCCCCGCGTGCAGGCAGTGATGATGCTGTTGCAGGTCACCGCATCTGGTAGCAATCCCGCTGCCCGAAGGTCTTGGAAGCAAACCAGAGATGCAAGCCAATTCGCACCCTTGCCACATGCGTTGATGGCAATGTTGTAGGTTTTGGTCTTGGCAAGTCTTGCTTCCACTTGGTTCTGTAGCCAAACAAATGTGTCTTGCCAGGTGTACATCTTCCAGCTCTTCCATGGGGCCCAGCATGGGGCTCTGTGTCAGCCCTCTGCCCTGCGGGGCAAATTCCGAAGCTGAAAGCCAACGGGCTGCGAACTCTTCTCGGGATTGGAGTCTGGCTAAGGGGGGGGCCTAATTACTTCGAAAGCCAGGCTGATGGCACAACAAAGCTCAGCACAAACAACTGACTAGGGACCCTGAAGCGCAGAAATCCCTCAGCTTAGCTTCCAGTTGAATGACTGGGCTCCACATTTGCGCGTAGGACACAGCACATGCGTGGCTTTTGCTGCGTTCGCGTGCGTTGCAAGCTCACAACCAACAGTAGCAGCTCCCATGACAATCCTGGGTTGCCGTCGAGAAACGAAGAACGACTTCCAATCGGCAACTAGCAGGGTTCCTTACGGTTGCTCCCTAAGCTATCTATTAAATTGTAAACAGTAACCAAGAATCTCGTTCGCTTCCAGGGCAAGCTCGTCCAGCTGGCGCAGCAGCCCCAAAGCAAGTCTCCATCGAGACTGCCTTTCCACTGAGTTCGTTTTGGAAGCTGAACAAAGAAAGACCTACGGCCCTACCACGATTCCAAGCTCTCTAGTCTCTGCAGCCCGAGACCGGTATCGTCCCCCCTCCCCAAAGCCGCAAGCTTAGATCTTATTTCATTCATAGGCCAGCGCGGAAACAACTGTTGAGCTTCTCTGCAGCCATTTCTTGTCAAGGTGCAGCCCACAAGAGCTGATTGCCGCCCCAAACGTAATGACGTTCGGATGCATGCCTTCCGTGGGGCTTAGACTCAGGCCTATGTGCTGCTGAGCTACAGTGGGTCACCTGCGCATGGACTATGGGCAAGTTCATGCCGTTTCGGTTTCGGTGTCAGAGAGGACATCGGAAATCACTACATGTACCGCATTCCTCCAAGCCTGACTGTGGAAGATCTGCCGCCAAGCCCAGTGCAGATCGCCACTGCTCGCCGTCCAGCGCATCAATGGTGGAATTGTATAGAATCAACTCAGCCAAGGAGGCACACCACAGAACTCTACAACTACCCCGAAAAGCTTATGCTGTACGTATTCATCGGCTGCGCGCAGCTTCAGGACACGGAGACTGGTCATGGAAGTATAAGCACGTAAGGAAGCCATGACAGTATAAGCTTTCGATTTTCCACAACTAGCCAGTAAGGCAAGAACGTTGGCTTGCAACTTTGATTTCACGAAGTCATCAAAGATCCCCAATGCCATTTGCCAGTATCCACAGCGCGCACAGGCACTGACCAATGCACTGTAGGTGACGATGCTCGGCTGCAGCTTGAAGTTTGAAAGCTGCGATGCAAGCAGGAGAGCGTACTGCCACTGCTCGCTCTTTTCGCACGCGCTGATCACAGCATTACAAATGATCAGATTGGGAGCCGTTCTGCCAGCACAAAAGTCATGCAAAGCTGCCACGGCAAGTTGCCATTGTCTGCCCTTCTCAAAGGCACTGACTGTAGCGCCGCATGTTATTGAATTCGGACTCAGGTTAGCTTCCTGAACTTTGTGGTACACGTCGGCTGCAGCTTTCCACGCCTCTGCCTTCTCACATGCATTGACAGTTGCGTTGAAGGTGACTAGGCTTCTCCTGTTGCCAGATGGGTCTTGGGGCCAGGAAGAAAGAGGGAGAACTAGCTTTTCTAGGCAACGCGGCTGGTCTTCCTGTGATTTGGTCTTGCAAGTCTCGGAACAAAGCATGTGGCGAGAACTAATGAAATCAGAGGACTGTCCTGACGCAGTGTTGTGCGAAATCCACCGCCATGAATCTGATGGCTCTTGTCCAATGTTGCCCAGTGCCCATGCTGCATGTGGCCGCGTTGTAGGTGATGGTGGTCCCATGCCTCAGCTGCATTACACTAAATCGTTGTTGCAGTCTATGCTTTCTTGCAAGCGACCTCAGATCCTGCCCTCACATGATGCTTCTCAAATCGGCTTGCTGAGAGGTTCTTCGAGTCCGTGGCCCTAACAAAGTTTTGCAGTCAGCTGCTCATCAAGCTCTGGAGCAGCAATGGTTGCTGATTAGGTCCTGTATTCACATGACCTCCAAGCTCTGGCTGAATGTCTGCGCATGTTTGAACACATTGCAAGCCTAAGAAACTGGGCGAGGCTACTGTGCGTTCCCAGAAAATGCCGCAGAAGCGCACTTTTTGGGGGAATTCTTACTTTAGAGCCCATGAGGAATCATGCAATAGGTTGGGCGGCAGTTGTGCGTCGTGGAGCTCCTCCAGCAGGTTGATGGCAACAGCCCACTGCCCCCCTAAGATCACAGGGATTGCGCTTGCCTACTTCAACACAATCAGGATGTGGGTTTCAAAGCCCGAGCCTCGATCACATGCACTCATGGAGGAGCTGAAGCCAATCCTGTAGCGGTCCAAAGAACATGCGCGCAGAATGCATCCAAACGCGACCAACACTTGGTGTCTGCCATCACACCTACACATTGCGGTCAAGCATCGTATCTGCCTGTGTGTTAGCAGCCTGAGTCTCAGGTCCACAGCGTCTCTGGATTGTGTCGGGATCCCTCGTGCGTCGCTCCCTCTCCGTGCCTGGAGTGCATGGAGCAAGTCGAGGGCACGGTCCCAGCAACTTGCCTTTTCGGATGTGCTCATGGCCTCAGTTTTAGCGGAAAGCGCCAGCGAAGAGGTTGGCCGACATGACCCAATGGCTGAGCTTGCGTTAGGTAAGGAGCACTCTTGCAATTCCACTGCATTGACTTGCTTTGCTGAACGGCTCACCGCCAATTTCAGCTTGACATGCGGAAGAGTGTCTGTGTCATAGCTGACAGCGTCGCGCTGCACAGTTTGACCAGGGATGCTGGCCAAAATCGCCAAAGAAAGCATCCATGCCCCCTGGCAGCTATCCAGGCTGGTGTTGAAGCTGATGATATCCCCTGCGAGCCGCCTGTCCTTAAAGGACCGCACGCGCAATTCTCAATACATGCGTGCTCATCCAGGACACGCCTACTTAACATCCAACATCATCCAACCCACAAGCAAGCTTAATCCGTGCAAGTTGATGTTCGCAGCCTCGACATCGCGCAGCAGGTGAAGTGACTGGCGCCACTGCCTAAGCAAAGCTCGCACAGGATGATTCCGTTTTGGGAGGGCCATATACTGACCACCCTTCCATTTTGGAGGGTGACGGGTCTAGTCCGGATACGCTGCTCGTGTGTGTGCTCACATCATGTGACCATAAAAGGGCTGCCTCCAGCACCTGTAGAACAAATCCTCCACCCACCACCGTTACTCACTGCCGACAAATTTTGCATCCAGCAACAGAGAGTTTATGATCCCTGAAAAAGCTTGACTTGCGGTCCCTCGAATGGCCCTCCAACAACTTCGGAGCCCATCCGTCCGTGCATGGAGAGCACAGGTACAATCGCGACTGCGAGTACTGCGATATCTGCTTGTACATTCAGCCTTTCAGAGGCACTGGGGAGCTCCAAATTCAAGAGCGCATTATAGCGCATTAGTCCTGCAACAAGAAAGTCAATGTCGAGAGTCGCAGCCACAGCGCTGGCACTGAGTGAGATGTTGTAGCTGAACAGATCCTTCTGCAACTGCTGCCTGGTGTTCAAGATATTTGTCGGCGCTCATGTTTGTCGAAAAATTAGCAGCGACAACTGCTGTGGCAATGCGGCTGCAAGATTAACATCTTGTGGCAAGAACAACAAACTTTATGGAATCAGGTTGCCTGCTGATGTCCGCAAACAAGTCCAAGGCGTTTTCCCACAGCTTGCTCTTACCCAAGGCGCTGATCGTGACGTTGAAGCTAACCTCACTTAGTGAGTGAAAGCTGTGCTGTGACACCAGCGAGTGAGAGATACCCAGCAGTCTGCCGAACGTTTCGAGCTGATGCCCGTGCTTGCAGGGCGTGCCACTAACAAACTTGCATTGTACTCGGTCGTAGGCATCTATTGCGAACGCCGGGCAACGAGGTCAGCTTGCGCCCAAATCTCGGATGCTTGATGCAAGAGCCGTGCGGCCTTGCCAGCTTGTTGAAACCAACTTCCGGACGATCCATCTGCTTCACGTAGCATTCAACGGGCCTCTTGCCACAGCTTCTTCTTGGCATGGCTCGCAACTTCCTTGATGCTCAAATCTGCTCACGTGTCCCGTGCGCAAAATCTGCACTGCAACACGTCTAGCTTCCTCCGTGCGCATAATTTTGGAGCCAAAGCTTGCCCGCAGTTCTGGGGCGCAGTAAGATTCTCACCGATCTGAGGGCGCTGGATGAGCGACACGGCCTGTCAAGATTTCACTCGTTTGAGGCAGACTTTTTTCTTCGGAAACCCAGGACAACACCAGCCTCTGCTGCAAGGATACCTCTGCTTGGAGGCAAACGGAAGGCTGTTCATGCTGGCCGCTTTGACAAGTCATGCTCGAGCAAATGTCTGCGGAGTTGTCAGCACTTTTGGAAGGCTATTCGGGCTGCGCAAACCTCCGCACTCGACACTGCCCTGCATGAGGATTGTAGCTCGGCCGGCTGAAGCAAAAAGGGAAGTCCAGCCTCCTGCGGCCGATCCGTCTGCGCACAAGCGTTGATGACCTGACAACTCTTGAAAATCCTTTTGCGCATCTTCTAATAATGATCAGTTGCTTCAGAAACATCAAATGAGCAAAAGTTGACGCCATCCTACAAGCTTGCTGATGTAAAGCATAATGCATCCAATATTAGACTTGGTAATCTGAGCCAAGCACTGTGGTGTAAGAAAAAACATCCGGCGTCACGCCGGAGGCCTCCATCTCGCCTGACTTGGACTGCCGGGTGAGACTGGATTGAGTGGGTGGTGCTGTCCAGTTCAGGACTGATTCAGGCTTTCAAATCCACACTGAAATTCCAATTCTACATACAAGTTGGCTGATCATGATATAGTTGTACAACACTGCTCCCCTGTGAAGCAACTGGACGAAAACTGCTTGGTGCTGCAGAGAGCACAGCTCTATGACTCTATGGCATTGTGTCATTGCATCCTCGCCAGCTGCATTGGAAGACGTAGTAGCGAAATGTAGCACTACACTTCACAAACGAAACACAATTTGCACCGTTTGGGATGCCTCGAGTCTTGACTACTCAAATTCCAAGGAATTATGGGGCTCCGGGTGGCAGTGGAATGCCTCCATCAGCTCTATCAGCTTTTGGCTATGTCTACTCTTGCTTTCATGTGTAGGACTTCCGAACAACCCCCAGAATAAGGGACAAATAGGGACCATTATGGCCGTAATTGAGGCAGATTGAGGGCCACTTGAGAATTGGGATGGTCTGAGAAACTTCCTGCAGGAACACCGTCAACAAAATCGATGACCATTCCAGCTTTCTACTGCAGGAGGAGCCTAGCCACATCTCCGCTTCTGCGACTCGTCCAACCCTGACAAGAGGCCCTAAAATGAAACACTTGCTCGCACAAATGAAGGTGAAGGTGACGTTTGGAGGGCGGAGTATACCAGGATCACGCATGGAGTACAGTGTGAAGGTCTTGTGGAATTTCTGAACTGCGCAGGATTTGGTCAAAAGCCGTCTGCACCGGCACATACTACACGAGTTTTTCTTCGAGGCTTACGAACTATCCTTGTCCATTCCCTTCTGTTGAGAGCAATTGGTTGGACTCGACGTCTTGTGGAATAGAACATGGAAACCATTGAAAGAAAAAAGTGGCCGCGCAGCGTGCTATCATTGTTCTCTTGAAGAGCCATGAATCGCAGAAGCCCCCGTATCACAGGCTAAGTCTCCAAAAAAGGAGTCAAGCACTGTACTACGACGGGAAATTACAAGATTTTGCTATTCCTGAACTGCTTTAGACATAGCCCTCATGCTTCAACATGAGCAGTGGTTCTTACTCCATATTTTTACCCTGCCGCGAAATCTTTCTGCCGCTGACGTATTAGGTTGTTGCAATCGAGAACATATCTTGAGCCGCTCTGACCTGATCCGAAACAAAAACACAAGGATGACAGAGCAGAAATGGCGGATGAATGGTACAAAACTAAACTACCCAAACCCTGGGGTTTTAGATAATCTCAAATGGTTGCGTGCAGAATGAAGGTTTTAGGGAGCTAAGAGGATGAGTTGCTATGCCACAACTACCATGTGGATGTGAATCAAAAACATGAGGTTTGTAACAGGCTTGGGCAGTCATTCCGCGACATAGGCTTTCATTAGAATTTCCTGGTTTGCGAAAAGCAGATTTGCGACAAGCTTTTGTCGCTGGGGCGTGCCGCGCGGCATGCCAATAACCAAGCATCGGCAACAAAGGTATGCAACAACAGGCCGCGACAAAGGGGTATGTAACAAGGGGCAGGGGGTGCCCTCGACAAAACGGGTTTTTGACCACCATGCATGCAAGTTGATTTCCCTGACAGTCCTGGCGCAGGCATTGATGATACCTCAGTCGCAACATACGGTGCTTGACCTTAAGTCACATATTTGGCATTTCTATCATCCGGAGTTTCTTTTTTACAGCTGAACGCCACTCATCATGCTGTCCAGGACTATGATCCTGCGGAGATCCACGTCAGACCTTTTGCTCTTGCGAGACCGATCCTGTCTATGTTCATGCTGCGCATGGGCCAGTGTACCTACATGAGCCGTGCCACACTGCAGGTAAGAGAGCAGTAGGCTTCCATTACAGCCACGACGCCTCATGCTGAAAAACACTCCCAATGCCATCGAGCTGACATCAGTGGATTGTAATTCTCGAGCTCTGAAAAAGCATAGGCCTATGCAGCCAAGCTGCCATTCCAAGCAACGGCATCCGGGTCAAACGAGAAGGTAACCATGTTCTTGGATGGTTGCGCAAGAAGACCAATTTCACACAATGCGGCCGCCCAAAATATGTGATACACATCCCACGACTTTGTTCGATTGCTTGGAACATTGCAGCCTATCATTGCTGAATTAGAGCACGTCTTACTCGGTAGGAAATCCAAACCGTAAGCCCCCCTTTACTTTACAAGGTTGTTGTGTGCGGCAAACGCCAGCTGCCGCAATTCAAAAAACGCATCGAAGCATCGTCAAACCACTTGATGGCCTCGTCCGCCTGGTCCGCCTACGCGAGGCCAGTTGGGATGCTCCCAGCGAGGGTGGCTTTTAGTCTTTGCATCACTTATTGGCTCAACGCACAACAGTGCAGACAGCCTCTAGCGGCACCTTGGCAACTCAAGTGTTTCAACAGGTTGTTAAGGGCTGCGTTGACAAGTTTCTCACCAGCTACAAGAGGTGCTAGCAACCAGCGTAATTTGAATACCAGTTTGAGTACGACATACTACGATGCAGTGAAGAATGACTCCCTTCCAAGCCTCACACTCATGCTACCATCCACTGCCTTGGCACAGGCAGATATCACCCGCCCGAACATGTACACGGACAAGTTCCCGTCCTTGCCAATATTCTGGCTTTTTTCGAAACACGTCCCTTCACTAGGATCAAGAGTTCTCGTGGTGTATCAAGGGAGGGGCTACACGGAAAATGCCCACATTAACAGGCAGGGGTAAAGCTTGGTCATGCGGGATTCTGCTTCACAGCCAGCTAGTCAGGAATCATAGAGGGAAGGCCTGGCTTCGAAACACGCAAATTCAAATCCTTCCTGTTTTGAAGGACGGCAGCGGACAAAGTCCAAAACCCAGCTTCAAATGAACGAACGACAGACTGCCTCTTAAAACTAGAAAGACAGCAGCTTCGAGATTTCTATCTTTGAGCAAGATGCAGGTGCCAATGCTGTCAGGTCTACACGTCAATTTCTGAGAGGCACCTGGCATTCAGACCACAGAACCACCCAATTTTAAAGTCAGGGTAAAGTCAGGACCCATCCACATGAATAGGACCTTAAGGCAACCGGAAACATGAAACCCAAATTGTCCAGCCTCAACCATACTCAAAGCAAGGGTTCTTCATGTATCCCAAGCGGAGCCATTATCAACATGACTTGGTACTTCAACATTGAGGTCTTCTTCATTGTGCCTGCAAGAAACCATCCCCTCTTTTTTGAGACTCTAGGTGGGGAAGGTTCTATTCTTAGTCCCTTGTAGGGGTGTTCAACCTACTATTTTCGAGAAGCTATATGGGAACTTTCTTTTAGAAACTGAATTGGTCTGAAGTCCTCCTGCAGCTTGTTTGCCATGTCACGCGCTTCCTGGCAACAACAAAGCCAGCCAAGCCATCCCTTAAACTAGGTAGGACAATTGGGATTTCCCAAAATTAGGGGTACCTTTTTGGGGTAATGTATTGGGGCCTACATTGGGTCCCCGTATTTAGGGAAACTACCATATCGCAATGCAGCAGTGCTCTGTAGTAGTATAGTAGCTATTGGGGGCCATAGGTGACAATCTGTTTGCTACCTACTTGTAGCTAAAGGGCTTAGGGACTGTTAGTGGGCCCTGAGCCGCGTTTTGGCCTACCTGAACACCTGGGTGAGAATTTAGTCCACAAGTCCTGGTGGATCTGGGCTCTCCTTTGGTTTCCAAGCCTTCGATGCCCCTTGAAAGGCACCGCCACACAAAGATGACAATCACACCTCCGATGCTGTCTAACGCATTCCTGAATGGCACTGCCAGGGCATGTTTGCCTGGTTTCAGCATAGCTAGCACAGCTATAGAAGCCCAAGAACCTGCTTCCTGCTCTTGCATTCACTAGTCACTAGCCTTGAATCTAAAATGAGAATAAGCTTGCAGCGAGTGCAATCTTGAAGTGAGTGCGGGAGGAACATTGGGAACATGCAGGCCCAAAATGCCAGCTGCAGATCTGCGGCCTTTGGGTTTCCATGGCCTCGGAATCCAGGATATCACATCGTTTTTAGGAAGGTCTTGCCTGTTCAGTCTCTTGCTAAGCCGCTGGCAGGATAACTCTTCGATGAGAGTAGTCCGAGCCATCAGGTCGATTCGTCCTTCCTGCTCCTTCAACAACTCATGTGTCGCGCTACGGACTTAATAGCTGAACTCCAACGGACACTTGCTGGCCTCCAGTCGAACCAGGAGGTCTTTCGCCTCCTCCTTGTCCCTTGCCCGAGCAAAGGCCTGCAAACAGTCTTGGGATCCGCTGCTTTCCGCGGGTCACCAATGTTCAGGCACACCGGATCATGGCCTAAACTCCTTACATGGTCCCTTGCTGTGGCTGAGGCAGGTCCGTCATGTATGGGTCTGGGCGCTGCTTAAAAACCAAATGAAGGAAAGGAAGCTTTACCTTCAAGGAAGCGGCTGCACTGAGGCATTGCTCGTTGTCGGCGGCCCTAGCATACTAGTTGTTTTTGCGTGCGCCGTCCCTCAGCTCGATTGTGGTGATTCTTGTGCTCTCTGATGCTAGAGTTTTCGCCCGCCTTTTCTTATAATGAGCCCTTCCCGTCCTGCATGAGAACAACGTAGGCGGTGCGGAGAGGAATGCCTTCACAGGCTTGCATGATGAGGGGGCATTGGGCTTTGCCCGATATGATAACTGTCTTTTGATTTTTGACCAGAGATTTTGGGGGGAGTCCAAGGCTCGAGGTGAGAAGAAATCATCATTTCTCTTCGGAGGCTCTTGCTGCAATATTTCTTCATCATTAAGCGGGCCAGTGTTCATTGATGCCAAATGCCATGCACCCATGCTGTAGGTAATCTTCGTCAAGCCCGCACGGTCTCAATTTCTGTCTGTTCTGGATCCAGGTACATGACTGGGCTCCCCGCCACGCGGTCCTTTTGACGCGCGGCCATCCTGCAAATGGGCTCATTCGCTGCGTGCATTGGACACCCATGACATGAGGCAAAACATCTTCGTCCCCAAGCCCGTGCTCAAGGCAAAGTCGGCCCAAACGCTCATATCCACATTATCCATCTTTCATAGGTGCAAACCAGTGTTGGCTGCGAGGCGCCTGGTCCGGCTCAACTTGCCTCAGCGCACGCAGTCAAAGGGATAGTCTTCAGAGAGGTCACAGATTTCCACGAAATGTCAAACCCAGCAGCTTTGAAGTTTACCCTGGCAAGCCTATCAAGCGGCTCCAACAGCTCTTGAAACCTCGTCGTCCAAACCCCACAGCACAAGTATTCGAGCAAAATGCTGAACCTGTGCTGACGGGCTAGCACTTGCTGTCGAGGAACAGATCCAGTGACTCCGCACGTTGTAGCCAATCTAAACCATCTGCAAGCTTGTTGGCCTCGACTGACTGCCCAGACCATAGATCTGAAACATGCATACCTGGTAAATCCTGGTAACGTATAACTGTATAACCTTCAAATTTTGAGAGCGAAGTTGATGCGATGGATTCCGCCGGTGCAGGACCCTTCCTGTAGAGCTAGGGAGGTTGTGACTAGGCGTCACCACTGGCAGTAGTTATACAGAAATGCTTTTGAACTGCACAGGCTCACTCTGAGGATGCTGCTTTTGCGCACACCGTCACGGCCTTCACGAAGAAGGAAGCTGCGCCTCTGCCTGCAGTGCAATGAATTGATTGGCAGAGAGCTTCCCCAGGAATGGCGATTTCAAGGGCACACCCGCGTTGACCTGCAACTTGCAAAGGCACACTGAAAGAGGTCCCACTCTGCATGGCCTTCTGTTGGAGGATCCAAGCCTGCATCCTGACAAGTGAAGTGTCAGTGGGGCGTGATTATCTGAGCTTCTGCGGGGGCTGTCCTGCATCCCGCTCAACCATGCAAAAGCCTGGCAAAGAGGCAGACTGCCAGCAAGATCCGCAAGCAAGATCATGATCAACAGTGCGCAGGCTAGAGTTAGTTGTCTTGCCAAAGAAGTGGCAGCCCAAACAAGATCGCTCAGTCGCATAGTCGGGAGCTGTAAAGCCGGACGCACAAGTTCCGTGTAACTGCATCGCATTCCGAAGTGTCCATTTTTCAAAAAGTTTGTCGGTATGGCACCAGGGCCCCGCTGTATTGAGTACACCTTCCTGGCCTCTGCATAGTTGCCGGTCTTCATGCACACGTCTAGGGCCTCCAGCACACAGTGTCTAGAATTCTGCCACTAGCACTTAATGTGTGCGGTCCGTCTTCTATGGCGAGTTGTCATTGGCGCTTCTGTGGGTGTCATGCCTGGGAAATTTTCAAACATGCTAAGCCTCTCAGGGTGCGATGTCACGAATCACTTCTCCCTATTCAGCAATTCACGGCAGCAGCATGCAAGCTGCAAGGACTTCACGGCACGAAAAGCGCTTACTGCGACTGCGACGGGAAGAGCTGAATTGGAGGCCATGCGGAATCAATCTGAGACAGCAAACCTCTCGGAGGATGCATCCCCTGCCCGGTTCAGCCAGGCTGCAACCGTGACGAACTGCGTATCATACTCCAAGCCCGACCTCATCGGCACGAAGCAACAGCGGCAGAATTCTCGCAGCAGCTCAACTCTTGTACTTCACAACTTGTTCCGCTTCAGTTCAGCTATTGGCCGCGTGGAGGACATCCTAATTAGTGTGGGACTGCACTGCTGTGGTCTGTGCACATCTGCATGCACATCCACGCGCACACCTGCCTGATTGTCTGCCGCAGCCACCTGCAAGCGGAGTGTGCCCGTGGATTACCAGCTACCGTGCGGCTGCAGAATCATTGACAGGTGCCGCTTTCTGTATACTGCTTGACTTAACAGCTTTGGATATGGAGGGAGCCGTAGTAAAATGAGAGCTCCTTTACAATTCCAATAGAAGGCATCCTTGATTACTTGCTTCATAATGAAAAAGCTACTACTCGGCAGACGCCAGCCTGTAGGCTTCCATCTTCTTCCCCGCAGAGAGCAAGCCTCGAACAGAAGGCAGCTGGGCTAAATATTCGCCTTCAGTAGATAGAATAGAATCGATATTCTGGCGTCCTGGCAGAAATTTTGGTTTATTGGCGTTGCGTTCTTGCGGTTCCATCTACTTCAGCACGATCATATGTGCTGATGTTAATGCGAAAGCACTGTTCCCTTCAACTACATAGATCAGACATAGACTGTCTGCCTGACTTTCCCATCATTCTTGTTGCTTGCGACCGGCACACTGCAAACCCTAAATTAACTGTGCAAGACTGTCATGCCGCGGACGGTGCTGTCAAATGCAACAGGGATGTGGGATATCTTCACCAAGCTAGCATCAGTTGCAGCCACATGTGTTTCTTCCCATCCGTGGCTGTGGTCATAGCCTTTGGTACAGCCCTACCGTAGGCCTTACCTGCAGTACCTGCACCTGCCCTCTCTGCAGCAAGCGTCCGCCTCGAAGGATACGGTCATGGATCTGAATGGACGGCTCTACTTGCATCTGGTCCATGGTCTGGCAGAGTGCGAGGGCAATCAGAATAAAAAACAACCGCAAGAAGTTGACCAGAAAGCTTTGCGGCCCTCGAGACACACATGTTTGCATGATCGAAGCCCCTTCAGGGTCAACATTTCAACTGCATTCTGCCGCCAGGTGTCATTACTTGCCTTCAAGGCAGACAGCAAGAAAGGATCTCAGCTGCACCCTGGCTTGTTGAACTTCACGAGCGCAAGCAGATGCAGCTCGTTCAGCCCTGGACCTCTCCTTTTTAGTACCCCAGGTCGAGGCTGAATTAGTCCAAGGCAGAGAGAAGCTGCAGTGAAAGCAGTGCTGAAGGAAAGCACTCACGTGAACCTGTGAACAAGCCCAAAACATACTGCAATCCTCCCAAACCTGAAACCTACTATAATACATCGTACTTTCAATTGTCTGTTCAATTATCACTATACCCTGAACCCTATACCCTTACCCTACACCCGAAGTTTCCTCGCCTTCAGCAAGGCTGACACTGCGCCGGAACGGCCCTGCTTCGCTAACCTGGCTTCAGGTTTAGGATATAAGTTATAGGGTATAGGGTTTTGCTTGGGTTAGTCTGTTGGGATATAGGTTCATATAGCGATAATGGAAATATTCATGGACAACCTTATACTTTTCATGGAGTGTATATGGGGCTATATATATATATGCTATATAAGCATATCATACCCCCCATTATGGAGAATGAGCTGGAACATGAAATTAAAAAAGAGATGGACAGTTTGGGCCAAGGGTACAGGTTCTGTATAGGGTTCCGATTAGGGCCTCATATCTGGGGTACCTTCGACTGTTGTCATTGTGTTTAGACATGCTTAGGAGGAACTATTGTTTTAAATGCGCTGAGATGACGCCAAGTTGAGCCAAGCAACTGCTCACGAAAGCTGGGCCCTTGCCATGCTGAGGCGCCGACGCCCGCACTACCAAATTGTAGGACCATTTGTTGGGCCGAACTGGAGGACTCCTGTATCTGCGACGAAAATACGGGTAACAATTCTGCTCCATGAGCTATGCGAACGGATGCCTCAAGCTGGTATACAACGCTACAGACTACCTGCCAAAATTTGCACGAAGCACCTTCTCCGAAACATAACATCATTGCCATTGCGAGCGTCCTCGGTCGCTCCGAATCAGCAGCCTGTCCACTGCTCACACTGAAGTATAGGCCGCATGTCTAAACCAACAAGTGTGCAGATGCTTACAAGTGCTTTTTACAAAGCAAGAGCGCGCGGCCTGCGGAGCCATCATCGAAACTAACCAGTCGAAGGCATCATCGACTCTCCCAGTTTGCAGCAGAGCCTGCCAGGTCCAAATGTGCCGCTGTCAATGTCCACTGTGCGACGTGACATCTTCCATAGCCCAATGCATTACCAATTTGCTGAGCTGTTGCTTCAAGCTTCAACTTTGGTTGCGCTTATGCATCGGCCCACCTTGATCATGCTGTTGTGCATAACCACATCAACCTCTACACCATCTTCCTTTGCAGCATCTTGCTTGCAGCAGTCATGTGCTGGTTTGCATAGGCTGGGGACGACCCCGTCTGCCAGTAAGTCAGCTGCATCCATGTCATCCATGAGGCGGCCAATATCCTCAGGCCTGCCGGCCTGCACAGTGGAGCGATGCAACAATCGATGAGGCAGCAATCTTAAGCACAAATGCATGAACTTCTCTCAGAAGCCCCATGCATCCTGCCTTTGCAAAGCCTTCTATCACGCTCCCATGGGAGACAACTCGGCAGCGTATAGGCTCCATCAACAAAAAGCCGAAGCTGTTTGAAGTTGTCCGCGCATTGCTTGACACTCGGGCCCAGTGCAAGCGAGGTATACATCACTGGGAGTAGGGCATAGTATTTCCTAACCTGAGCTGCTCCAAGGAAATCCAAGCAGCCATCCGGTGCCACTTCCATGGCTTTCAGTTTCCTAAGTTCTTCCGGCGGCCAAACAATCCCCTCAAGCAAAGGGGGGCCTACTGATGTAGGAGTCAACACCAGTCTCTGCCCAGAGTCGCCAGGAGAAGGGCGGCATCATCCACACGTCCTTCCTCAGCAAGTTGAAGCTTACTCTGCAGCTGGGGGTCTGATTTGGCATAGCTTGGCCAGATGGGGAACCATGTTTCAGTCAATGGGCATTTCCCCTTGCAGCTTGGACTACGAGCCAGTTTCGAAAGGTTGCTGCAACGCGCCTTTGAGCACGCGTTGATCACACTGCTATATGAAGAGGTCGAGGGAGTCACCTTCAGCCCGTCTCCAACCCAACTTGCCAAACCAGCATCAAATAAACAGCAGCAACTGGAGTAACTGGGCATTGCCACCATGTTGGCCACCATATCCTGATAAGCGTGGAAGGATGTTGCCACAAGGGCTTACTCACCAACTCTAGCCCCCCAAACGAAACAGCCGAAGTAGGACGCACAAATAAGGATTGATGAAGAACAAGTGCATCCAAGGTTGATTGCGAATGCGTTCCACAAGTTCATTGCTAGGGGTTCCATGAAGCCCTGCAGGAGATTCTCCGGTTTTCCTCAAGCGCAAGTTGGAACTTGCTCCGCACGCACAGAAGGTGACATGGGCTTGACAGGGAAGCTTGAACAAATTACTGTCATTGCCCGACAGGCTTCCACTTCACACATGATGCCCGAAATGGGAACTCCAATCCTCACTGAAGCCACGTAGGCATGAGCCTGCGCATTGGTCCTACTGCAATCTGGGCGTCCTCCACCAAAGCGCGAGCCGCTTCTGTTTGGCCCTCTGAGAGAAGTGCCTGGCTATGGGAGGGATCTGTGATGGGTTTGTGTTTAGGGGATCGTGCTATCTGGTTGGGCTTCTGCAGCGCATATAATTTGAGCTGATGGAATGCTGGGGCAGAAATCTCACATGCGGCGAAGCACCTCGATGTTATCCTCGCCGTCCGGCAGACTTGCCGACCTTGTAAAATAAGCTGCAGGCAAAGAATAAGACCCAATTCCACGGCAGAAGACTGGGCAAGTGCCAAGTGCTCAAGCACTTGTACCATGGTACATCCTACCAGTTGGATATGCAAGTAGGCATTTGCTACCATGCGTGACTTGCAAGTCAAATGGTGATAACGCCAAAGCGGTGAGACACTAGAGCTTCCAAGTCTGACCAAGTCGCGGAGGCTCCTGTGGCAGCCATGCTTCTGAGCGTGCAAACTTTTCAAACTTTTGCGATGCCAGCCGTACTTCACAACCAGCAGCTTGGTGAAAGGTCCTCAACCAAGTTGGAAACCTTTCGGTCATCCAGCTGCGAGCGTTGCTCTACCCGTAGCCTTCGCAGCCTCAGGCGCACCAGCTCAGAAGAGAAGAGACATTGTTTCTATCGCAATGGCCCGCGCAAGCAGATTATCTTGATCTGCGGCCTCTTATGGACGGTAACGATGTACATGACATGTCAATCTGTCACAAGCTCAGCAACTCCGTCCTGCCGCTCACAAGCAGTTCCAAGGGTTCGGGGGGGGGGTGGCGGGTCGGGGAGGGGGGGTTGGGCTCGGGGGGCGGGAGTGGTGCGGTGCGAACTGCGGACAGGTCACGAAACCTGAATGGTTTGAGCATGCAGTTCCCCTGCTCGTCTGCTCTCTCCCCTCGACAACCTTTGCCGAGGCAGTCTCGCGGTAGCGGTTATAATAGCTTATCTCTAAGTACCTGGCAGATTTTTGCTTGCACCTGGCGGCTGTCAGGGATCAGGACTCTCCTGGAACATTGACTGCTACCATTGATGCCCAGCCTCGGGCAGCTGGGCCAGCTTGAGAGTGGAGAGCGGCGACACCAACCTGGCAATCCAGAGGTGTGGTGGGATATTCTGGGCACCAGCCCATGTGGCAAGACAAGCTGGAAGGCTATTGACATTGCATCCCTTCAAGACAGCTGCTGCACAGGACTGCGATGAGCACCGCTTGACAAGGCTTGTACGCGCTCACTCGCATGCCCATGAGCTCCATGCCCTTCGTTAATCTCGCCCTGTCTACCGCGACCCCTGCCAGGTTCGCTTGCCAGCCGCCCTTCCTGTCAAGCAACAGTAGAAAGCAAAACGGGGGCATGCAAGCTGTCACGCATGCCAAGACTTGGCAAGCCCCATGCTGGTTGTCCAGCTTCCTCTGATGCCATCCCACGTCGGGCGCCCATGTAGCAGGAAGCTTAAATCAGAATATCAAGCCTCTTCTTTTTCGCACCTCACTACCAAAAGTGCAAGTATACTCCGGTTACGCCTCAAAGCCCGCACCAAAAACACACAACCCTGAGGCCTGCCCTCAACCCAGGGCCCCGGCCCGAGGCTGGAGCTTCTCTGACGGAAGTCTGTAAGCTGCTTGCCTGTCAAAGCAGCTTATATTGCCTTCTGTGAGCTGTACACCATTAAAACAGTGCCCCATAGTGCCCCACTAGTTTGGGTTGAAGTAGTGGGGGCTCATTCTCAAACATCTCCACCCGCAGCTGGCAGAGAGCCCTGAGAACACTACGCAGTAGTGAGTAGTGGGTCATGGCACAGGGGAAAGCCGCTGCAGCGCAGGTCAACCAAGATACACACCATGGCACGCCTGTCGCCCTCGAAGTATCCGACCTCCAAGGCCTCGACAGAATGCAAAATGGTGTTGCAATACCACTTCACCTTGCGTCATTAATGCTTGCTGGAGCTATAATAACTACCACGACTTGCTTACAGATTTAACGACGCTGTGCTGCGCACCGCTGCAGGCTGGCATCCGGAAGACATGGCTGCAGGAAAGCCATGTGCACGCCTACAGTTGTTTTGGCAGTCAAGTCTGGTTCGAAGGTCCTGAGAAATGAGAAAAAGGTGTGCAGCCGATGAACTCATGCCTCGGGCAAACTAATAACTAATCTCTTGGGCAAGCTAGACCGTATCACCTACCACACACAGATCTGTGCAATGCAATGTCATCGCAGGCCCAAGCCTAGCCTCATTTGAAAGCATGAATGCCAACCGCAGACGCATGAAATGCAAGACATGTGAGAGTTGGTTCTAAAAAACACATCTGTCGGCAGGAGCTACGCCCTCCTTCCCTCGTGTTCATGCACTGGTGCCTGTTTTATCCGACTGTGAAACACGCCAAAGCTTGGGACTGAATTTCAGTCCATCTGAGTCCTGACGTCTAAGATGGAGCTTGGAGTTGAAGGCGTCATGGCCGCTGTCATGCTGATAAGTTGAGAAACCAACCAACCGCTACCAGGCAAAAAGTAAACACTTCATCCGGTGCTAGGTGTGACTGCGTGACTCGGCATCGATCAGTACTCACCCGCCATGGTGGCCTGGCGACATTGAAGACTGATCCCGACCAAGCAGGATGCCATGCCTATCTGTGCTGCTTTCTAAAAAAGGGTGAGCTATCAGTTTAAGTATGTTTCGTTGTTCTTTGTTGTTTTTTTGGTTTTTGGGGTGTCCTAGGCATTATGAAGGCCACTATGTGAGGACACTCCACGCAAGAACTCAATTTTCAGCCAAAATTTGGGGATGCTCTACGCAGGAGCTCAATTTGGTGTCGACATGTGAAGAAGGCTTCACGCGAGAGAGCTCAATCTGTGAGGATGCTCCTGCGAGAGCTCAACCAATTATATTGATAACAAAAGAATATCTGTTGCAAAAGTAGTCAACGTAATCATGGCTGTAGTGATAAGTGAGAAGACGCTCCATTGACAATGATTTTTGCAACCCTCCAGCATCCCGCACTGAGCAGGTCAGGGCATTCGATGATGACACTAATAACAAGCTACAAACGAAGAATAACAACAATAATCCTCATAACCCTCTCTTACCCTCCCTTACCAGCAAGCATGGCCATAACATGATTTTACCGTACGCATGGATTGCATTAAACAACAAAAAAACAGGCGATAGGGGCGCAGCGCCCACAAAATGATCCGCACAGCCTTCCCCCACTGCAAACATTGTGATGACATTAGTTTTTGCCGCAAGCATGGATGGCGTGAAGAGAGCCGGGGCAAGAAACCGGAGAAACTGCCGGAAAGCCGAGAAGCCGCAAAAGCCAAGAAGCCTGGAAAGCCAAGAAGCCAAAAACAAATAGAATACTACCCAAAAAACGGAAAATACATCAAATAAATACTCTTCTTTTCTGCCACCATGCTACAGAGCCATGTCCATCAGACTTGGTTGTACCGGCTGAGACATGTGAGCCTGCCAGACCATTGGAAAGCATGGGCAGCTTCGTTTGCGGCGGGGGCAAGTCTGCAGGTGGCTCTAGCCTGATGTCTGCAAGCCATGCGCAACACAGAGGGGCTGCGGATGGGTAGTTCCCAGAACTAGGGTCCCACTTTAGTACCCCTAAATACTAGGTGCCGTAATCTAACCTGTAACCAAAAGGGGCCCATAATCTTGAGAACAACCCAAATCGAAGCAGCTCTTTTGATTTGCAGATTTGAGGCTGCGGCGACCGCGGAGAAGGGTGCGGGAGAATCGACTTCGGGTCCCTGCAGACTGAAGAATGCATGTCGTGGGGGTTCTGGGGTAAAGTCGAGATATGGAGAGTAGGAGGGACGAATCCATGGCGAGCTTCCTTAAACACGCTGTCGGAATACCTGAGTAGTACTTGCAGCCTGGAGGGCCATTTCTGGACAGCGCTACGCAAGCAAGTTTGAGGTACATGGTTTTCAATTAAGCCTGGTAGAGGCCCACTCAAGCGTGCGCATTGCTTAACAAACGGACTGGCCTGCCGTGTAGGCAGCCTTGGAGTATGTTAGCCACTTTGTCATCCACGGAGGGCGTATAGTTCCACCTGCCGAAGGACAACGTGCATGAATGAAACACACCTAGCCTGAAAAGGAGGAAGGGCACCTTGAACCAAACAGCAGAAACGGGCCCTCCATTCGAGCAACTGCCCCAAGGCACTCTCACTGGCGCCATGACCTGGACTTGAAGTGATGGCCCAGCACCCACGCAGTCTGCTCCAGGCTGACCTGCAATTTTCAGCTACCCCTGTAGGGCGGAAGTTAAAAGAATGCGGAATTAACTGGAAAAGCAAATCTCAAAGAAAATGGAAGCTGCTACTTGGGTTTTGGGGGGTACCATGATGGAGAATCAAATCTCAAAGAAAATGGAGTTATAGCATTTAGGAGTTGAATGCTGCCGCCCTTGGCGGCCTTGTCGCACAACGATTTTCGATCGCTCTGCTTGTGCCTGGGCACAAGGCTTGTGAGCAAAGAAGCTTCCAAGTAGAGAATTTGTTCGAAGTCGCATCATAAACCTCTAGGGATCCAGAGAAAAAAGAGCTTTGCAAATAAAGGCCAAGCCTAAACACTTCCAAGTACTTACGAGGACTAGCAATGTTCATTTGACCCCGAACGGATGGAGTACAATTAGATATGATTTCACGCGCCACCTGCAATTGGATGGTGTGATGCTGGACCGGGGTGCCTCACGAATTTAGCCTCGCAGTGAAAAGTTTTTTGACTGCGGAATCTGGTCCTGAAGTAAGAGAACTTTTGATGCCCCTTCATAATTGTGAGGCTCAGATTGGACGCAAACAGATCACAAGACCACCAGAAAGGTTGGAGTCGTACCGTACAGACAGCTATCTGAATTATGAGCATCGTGGACTTGCAAGAGTCGAGCCATCTGGGCCAGGAAGCTGGGCCCTTGACCAGAGCTGCGTGGTCCGCTCTAATGCGGTGACTGGGCCCTCAGTGAACTCTTCGAGGCGCCTGGGAGACAAGTCCTAAGGGCTGTAATTCCGCTAGGCCGCTTGGTGCCTCATGGCAGCTTGAAAAACCATGTCTTACTTGAAGCTAAGCTACACAAGCCACATACTTAACAACAGTAGTAACGAAGAAAATGGCCCCATCTAACAACAATTATCATTCACAGAAAAAATACGAAATGCTGACATTAACCCTAACCCCAAAAACCTTATATCCTAGACCCTCCTCCTACCCTTTATTAGGGCCTAAGTACCTACTATTAGGGACCATATACCCCCAATTAAGGGTACAAGGAGGGTCCTGGTCCTAAGCCTGTAAGCAAATCTGTGGAGCCTCCGGGTTGCTTCCTCTCGCAGCTCGACTCGGCGTACCATGCAGGAGCAATCCTCCTCCCTGGCAAAAAAAAAAACATCGCTCTTGACTTACTGGGGGTTTGTAAGGAATAAGGGAAATTTATAACATAGTATAGAGCATAGAGGGTATATTCCCCTTATGCCCTAACTACCCACCACTGAATTGAAGCTGGTCTCTTTCTTGAATCTCCTGATTGTTTCAAGGAGGGGTTTGCAATCACTCACAGCTCCTAGGTGAGTCCGGTGAGTTTTTGAAACCCACATGCCGGTGGTTTGCTGCTGCGGGATTGCCGGTGATAGCAGGAAAGGTTCTGAGGCAACCGATCATGTCGAACGCAAGGAGCCTAGGGTTTTTTCAGCTTCTTTATATGGAACGACTTGACACTGCCCAAATGAAGAACAGAAACTATATACAACACCATGGAACTGTTGATGCCACAAAGATGGCGCGTGACTCTTCCCTAGAATTCGTTGCCGATCGTTGATGAGCGTAATAGGTCTTGGAAGTAAGCGCAGCTGCAAAGAGCACAACTCAGGAGAGGACATCACAGTGGTGTGGACGCCAGCTGTCTGACCTGTACTTTGTAGCCCGTGATCGAGTCGAAGAATTTATGAAAGCATTCCAGTAAGGCAGGACCAGTAGGCAGGACCGCCAAATACCCCACCCGGGCCCTGAGTCTCCAACGCTCCTTCTGCAGGCGCTCACGAGCGTCGTTTCTACGAGACTCCGTTGCTTCCTGATGGCGCAAAAGCAGTTGAGATCTGTGCCCTATGCCCGTTGCATGTCCAAGGCTCTTCTTTTTACACAGGTTTATGCAGGTGGTTGCTGGTCCACTATGCCGAACCTGCGCATCTGTCGTTCTCTTTGTTTCCATTGGCAGCCGCTTGGAAACAGCCTGTGGCAAGCTCACTCATGACCACGACTGAGGCTGTTGACGACATTCATCTCCGGCTCTGATTATTTGGGACATGCGGAGTGCTGACTGCATCAGCAAACCTACGAACCGGAACAAAACATCTTGATCACGGCGTGGCATGATACACATTTGCCTGGATCCTTGAAGCTGATGGTCTGGGGCCTCTTTGATTTGAGCAGCTTGCTGTCTGACCTCCGCCAAATGTGCTTCGCACTGCTCCTGACCAGGAACACTTGCCAAGCAGTTCTGCACCAACTGCAGACTAGCCTTTAGCAAGATACTCTGAAAGGGGATCAGTGAACGGATCCAAAAACAACAAGCCATGGGGCCCCCCTGTGGCTCAGCTGATGCACACATGCACCTGCACCCCTCGTAGATACTCGGCTGCTTTTTGCTTCATCTCCACTTCCTGCGAAAGCAGTCTCTGAAAAGGGGCATGCAGGGTGCATGGCTTGGTTCAGCGCTAGTGTATAAGTATCATATGCAAGAACAAACTTCCAATGATAAGGACTCACGTTAGGGCACTTGTACCTATTGTAATATCCCCCTCGGCCGTCAACATAGCTCAGACACAACAGGAAGGGCTTCAACCTCTCACCACGAATCAGAGATGCAGTTTTCAACTGGGCTGTGGCACAGGTCTTGCGCACAAGCTCAACATGCCCACCCTCTTCATCTTCAACATCGTCCAGCTGTGACAATGCTTTTCTGACTTTCAGCACTGCACTGCTGACAAGACAAGCGACAAGCAGTGAGCAGTAGCAACAACCATATGGTTGCGATGAGAGCAAGGTGGACGCAATTCAAGACAGTGCCAGTTCTGTTGTGGGTAAGGTTTCCATTGAAAAAAATGCCACACTATACTTTTGACTCACCATAGAGCCTCCCAGTCAACACCTGATCATTTTTACGTTCTGTCTGTCTGTCTGTCTGTAGCTACTGCACAGTAGCTCATTTTTTGAAAATCCCTTGTCGCCCAGGGGTGAGCCTGCGTAGCCAAGGCATCCTCGGCGTCTTTCAGCGCTGCGGCCCGAGCCGCGATGCGAGCTTCTGACGCTGCCTGGAGCCGCAATTAAAGTTTCTAAAACTTTTGCAAGGGTTCTCACATGGTGAGGCCTTATGCTAAAACACTCCCTTGCGGAATCCTCACTTGCCCTGCAGCGCTGGCCGTGTTCCATTCCTCTGAGTCTGACTGTCTGAATGACCAATGACGGACGCCCAACAAATGTGATGTTGAGCTTTGCCAGTGGCTGAACCTACCACGCGGCGGCCACATGCACGTTCAAACGCGGTGCCCACCTTCAACTCTTCGTACCGTGCTTCGGTCTTCTGTGTCCTCTCGCCTTTGCACAGTAGCGAGGTGATGCGAGGTGTCTAAGAGTGCACAATCCCAGCACAGCAAAATAATGGTTTGAGGAAATGAGGGTCCCGCACGCTGCGTTTAGAAGGTGCGCAGCGGCAACCACGTGGGCCTAACCGACTTTGCAACCGTCGGCCTACTCGTTTGTGCAAGACTTGCCAAGACAGTTTTGAATCAGCCAGGATTGAGCAAACTTCGGCCAGAGCGTTCATGACATCATGATTCACCTGCGTGCCTCCTCAGCAATTTTGAGCCCTTGAGCTTCGTCCAGTCGCCTTGGATCGCAATAACTGCTCGAGCACAGCTACTCTCAAATCCGGATGCAAGGACAGCAGCTCAGGCCACAGCTTTCGCGCTTCTCTCTTCGCCTCTTCGAGCATGATGTCAGCCTGGCGTACCTCTGAGCACATATCTTCCTCCAACTTGTCCACACCTTCTGACAAGGAAGCTTATACATCAAGCTGTGCTGGCCAGGCTCTACTGGGCTCCGGACATGGACTTCGAGGGCCTCTGAACGCAAGAATCGCAGTGCAGGGGAAGGCATGCTCCAGCAAAGTTCGCGATGGTCGCCTGCAAATCTGCATCACGTCGTGCACGCATCTCCTCCACGGAATGCTCCGCATCTGCAATCTGCCAGGGACCATGCTGCGCAGTTCTGGCTCGGGAAGAGAGCTGAACTTGATTGCGTTGTTGACACGCAAAGGCCTGCCATTGGACATCTTGCTCAGCCTTGCAAGATGATACTCACCGCATCCTTTTGTGTCTTCCTCTTCTTCTTTTTCTCACTGCTCCACCCCCCCCTTGAGGGAGGCGCCGGGGCAACGCCCCAAGCAAGCTCAGCGTCCAATTGCGCACACCGCTCTGGGACCCGATTACCGAACATACCTTTTGTGTCCACCCTCTCTCTCCTTCCCGTCGCCACAATAGACAGTATTGAAGGCTTGCTAGCGCTTGCTTGCTTCACCCTGTTCAACAACCTGGTGAACCCAATCTTGCGCATCTAAGGCCCGAGCACGATCAGCCTCATGCTTGGCTTTGTTAGTCCGCTCTCGCTGGATTTGGAGTTTGTGCCTGCAACGAGCGAGGGAGATGATGAAACATGTGATTGCAAGGTTGTTCAAAGTTTATGTTAGCGACAGGCAGAAACACCTCTCCAGAGTCTACCCGGCTAATTAAGTGCAATTGACATCCAATTGGCGCCTCTCCACTTGCAGAGCGTCCTTTCCAGAGCAGTTCGAGCTGCATTTGTTGCCGCAAGCATTGATTGAATTGAATTGCTATCGCTCCTGCTGGCGGCTCCGGGCAAATTTGTACCTGCCATGCTCGTCCTGGACCAGTCGCTTCCACCACATCCACTCTTGCGATCTCTCCCTTGCCGCATAGACTGCAGATGAACACTTACGACTCGCTCGCTGAGGCTGACTTCCAAGCGTGGTACAAGCTGTGTACGTAATTTCGCTGACGGGAGCGACTTAAGCTTGCGGTAGAATGCTTGCAGCAACAACCTTGCACGTACTCTGGTCCTCTATGCGTTGATACTTTTCCAGCATGCCATCTGGAGACTGGTGCTCCTTCAGCAGACATAGACGCAAGACGATAGTTTGAGATGCGATGCTGGCAAGCCACCAGAACATCCAGCCGTGTGTTGCTCTGCAGAGCAACCACCTTGGCGCCAGTGCGCGCTCTCAAGGCGCTGGAATCGGACCGAGCGAGCTTTAATGTTTTGCAGCGCAAGCGGCCGGAAAGGGTTGCTTCAGTGCAGGCAGCGGGGCTGGGTCTTCGCCAGGTAGATCCTTGTGGACCTCCTGCGCCATGAAAGGAATGTAATTAACGCGCTTGAGGACAATCTTGCATCCCTACAAGACAAGCCCTGGCACCGCCGTGTGCAGGCAAGCGCAGTCCAATGCACACGCTCTTGCTTGCAACAAGTCCTGACAAGAGTCACATCGGACCATGTCTGGAAAGACCTTGGCAAACACGTGAGGGGCGATTGGCAAGCTAATACAAGGTATAATCACACAAACCAAAAGCAAGCTATCATCCAAAGAAGCGATATGATACTGTACCTCTTCCATGCCAGTGGCAGCATGATGTGAAAGTACATGCTCTGCATTCGTTCACCGCCGCGTCCTCTGAAAACGTGCATTTTAACATCCTATCCTTGCCGACTGAGCAGCCAAATGCATAGGACATTTGTCTAAGGTCTCGTTGCCGCTGGCCGGAACGACATCAGCACCTACAGCTCACTCCACGTGGGAAAAGAAGCTCAGGTGCGAATGCGTTGCCCTTCTTGCCCTGCTGCGCGAGCTACTTGAATCTTGCTGCCGTGAGCAAGAACGTCTACTCTCCGCAGCTGCTGGACGTGTTGAAGCTGAGCCCCATCCCCGTATAGCTTGTGCTGTGGCCTCCTTGCGGAGCAGTAGTGGCCGACTCACCCTGATCCATGCCCGAGGACCACCTGGACTTCCAGTGCAGGGTGCGGTGTTTCAGCGTGGAGCGAGAATTTTGGAAGTGCTGCAGCCCAGCCTCTCGAGTGCAGGCCCCAAGCACTTATGTAACTGCAGCCAATAGTACGCAGTGTTCTTAGAAATCTTGCTGAGGTGCCTGCTGCAGTGGAACATAAAACGCATTAAACGGATTTGGCTAGAAAGCAGACCATGATCCCAGCTCACCTAATTTGCCGGCTCTGCCCTTTGGGCTTGAGCCTCAACCATTCAGCACGGAGCTTTGTGGAGCTCTTCACCAAAACATCCTGCGCCTGTCCTTCGCAAGACTCCCTGCCTTTCTGAATAGGGGCCCATCTTCCACACGAATCAGGCTTGGTTAGCAGCATTGATTATGTAGAGAAGAGCTTCCTTTGCCCACTTGCAATGAAGATCATGTGAGGACTTCTCAAGATGACTCCCAAAGCCAACACGGCAGGCCAAGCTATCTAAATCTAACCTTCAAGCCTAGAAGGCAAACGGGCTTGGCCCCATGCAAGAAAGGCATCTTGCTGCCTGGCCTTTTCCACCACAACACGGCTGCAGCAGAAGATTGTGCTGAAGGAGTATCATGTTCACCCTGCCCCTCCAGTCTGTTAGAAGACCCGCTGCTCTCGTCTGTTGCTGACCAGCGCATGTAAAAGCCACCTCAGCGTGCTCTTTTCTGCCGCCAAGGTTTCCTCAGCAGCGTGGCAGCAGCAGCATCGAGCGAGGCCGTTAGGTCCGCATCCTTGAGGGCTTACACACAGCTCAACGTGGCCCATGGCTTTGAGCAAAGAGGGGCACCGCTTTTTCAGCATGCTGTTTGCCAACTGCATCCAGGCAGCAGGGCTGCATCGCGTATTTGCGAGAAGCGCTCCCGCACTGAGCCCACCAGTGAACTGGAAGAAGCCTTCTTCAGGCGATGCATGCGTCTAAGTTTCCAAGACTGTGCGAGTGAAAGACCCTTGCCTTGTTTGTGCAATCTTCACTCTTAACTGACACAGACGGTGTTATAGACTAACCTAGGGTGCCTTTGACCTTCCTCCGTGAAGGGATTTTTGATAGAGATAATTATCTGTTGGAATGGAGTCACCCTGTTGTTCTTTTTGTTCCTGGCGTGGTGCCCACGCGTCAAGCTTGACGCAGCAACAGTGTATACCTCGGCTACGGAGAATGGTGACCTCTTAGTGGCTGTGAAGCTCCTGCGTGCATCAGTGTCTTGAACCCAGCCTCTGCGGGTGCTGCCGACGCTGCCGCAGGAGGTGGATCAAAGAACTGTGGCGATACCTTGGCCGCCAGGGAGGGAAAAGAGCAGAATGTTCTGAATCTTCAGTGACATCTACGCCCTTTCGTAGAGCTGCGTCTAGATCTACACTGCGCCAAGTACTACAGCAAAAGGGCAGTCAAGGGTTAGGCAAGCAGATTAAGGCCCGGCATGGTGTGAAAACAACTGAAAACATACCTTGAAAATGACCTCTGCCGGGACTGCACCCTGAGCGCCAAAATATGTTGATTCTCATCTCACCTCTCATATTTATGGAACTTAGGGACTCCGTACAGACCCATGCCTTTGGACATCCGCCCTACGCTTGGCAAGGCAAAGCCAGGGAGCCCCCGAGAGCTCCAGGCCACGCACCTGCAAAGATGCAGAGGACGCTACTCCCAGAAACATTAGCTAGCAGGAGTGCGAGCAAGAGCACCGCTAAGGGTGCTACAGAAACTACAGATGTGCTCCTTGCCTGGAATTGCCTGCAAACAACCTTTGATCTTGCTGTTGGGCGAACGCTTAGGCCAATCCATCCATGCATTGGAACGGATGGTAGATTGGCTTCCCATTTGACGCGTGCTGGACCACACATGTACTGGAAGCCTTGTCCTTTAAAGGATTTTTGCAGAAAGCCTACACAGCGCACAGCTGCCAGAGAAAAGCCCTAAGCGATTGAAGCCTGGTTTCCCGATCACGGCAGAGCCTTGTCCCCGAGTTGATCTCTCTCTGCAGCATACGACTCCTGGTCATGGAGCAATATAGCTCCAGGCTTCTCCCCACAAGAGCTTTAAGTGCAATATCTTCGAATTCGCTCGGACCCGAGTGCTGGCATTCCCCACCGATTCCTGGCGATCTACGAGCTTCTTCTGTAGGAGGAGAACTCGTTTCACCTTGGATGTGGCTTGATCTACTCAAGGCAAACCCATCCTGACTGCAAAGCTACAGACCTCGCGCTCATCAGCTTGGCTGTACATGCCTGGATCAACACTTCGTTTTGAGAGTGCTCCATGTTCAGGCCGCAGGCTGCATCGGCGTCGCTATCATCATGCGTGAACTCCGTGGGCGTTTCATCGCTGAGGAGCATCTCACCCAAGGCTGCGTTCATGTCCTGGGTGCCAGGCTACTGCACTAAGACTTGATGACAGAATGTTGTGGAAGCCGATTCAAGCACTCATGGGCAATCAGCTGCGGGACTCGGAGCCGATGGCTTTCATCAGCCACACAGCGGCAGGCAGCCTCGTGGAAGAAAGAGCCCAGAGACTTGGAAGATCTTGGAAGGGCGTTCAGCATAAGGAGTCATGCTTGTTACTTGTTACTGACTCAGGCATATTTGAGTTGAGCATTGCCTACTTTCTGTTTGAGAGAAGGCTCCTGCCTGAAGCTGGGTGTGGCGACCCCTTATCGACGTCTGACGCGCTTCGCGCACCAAGAGGCCATCCAATTTATTTTGCATGTCAGCGCAGTCCTGCATTCCATGATCTCAGTTAGAAACAGACACACGTGTCAGAAAGCTGTCGCGGAACTGCAGGCTCAAAACGAAGGCAACAGTCGACCACAGCACCCCTCTTGTCCTGCATCAACTTGATCCTGTCCGAGTCAGCGATGCGCCTGGCTTCCTCTAACCCGGCCAGCTGCTTCACGTAGCCCTCACTTTGTGAGGCCATGGTTTCGCGCATGGCCTTGCCAGCATCACCCAGATCCACGCGAGCTGACTGCAGCCCCGCTTTCTCCTCCGACGCCTCACGTAGCCGTTGTTGAAGACCGGCCTGTTTGCGCTCAAGGCGCTCGACGAGCTGTGTCTGCGCAGAAGCAGCGTGCTGGGTGTCTGCAAGCCACTGCAATGCCTGCTCCACCTCCTCCAAGGCCTGCATATCATCTCCACCCACAGAGGCGGAATCTGTTACCCAGGAATCTGCCAGCTTAAGCCGTAATTGTGAGACCTCCTCCTCTGCTTTCCTTAGCTCCTCTCGCGCTTCTTCCCGCTCCTCCTCAGCCCGCGCCTGAACCTCTGCAGACACCAAGGAGCGGGCCTGGATCTCTGCTGCCTGGATCCGGCGCTCAGCTGCGGCTTGCTGCTCAAGCGCAGGCTTCTGTGCCTGGCCAAAACAATTCATTCCAAGACCTATGCCATGCTCGGGAAGCCTTGGCCGAACCTGCCGTGCTGTCGCTAACAAGGGACATGCTCCATTGCACCCGCCTCCTGTAGACTTTGACACCCGCGCTTCCGGTCGATCTCCAGTGCTCGACAAGCCTCCCGTGCCTGTTTTGCAGGGTCAACGAGGCACGTGTTTCGTAATTAATTAAGACAGCTGATTGTTCTGAAAAGATGCTCAGCAGTTGTTCGGGTCACTGGAATTTGAAACAGCCCCTGCGTTGCAGTTGTTGACGCAAATGCCTGGAGGTGTTGCCGCTGCCTCAGCATCTTCCAAGCGAAACTTCGGTGCGCATCGCTATGAGAGCAGTCGAAAAGGTCTGATTGAAGAATCTTCTGCAGACCTAGCGGCTCTCGCACCAAACTTGCCTTTCGAGGGCCCAGGGCTTCAAGGGCCTCGTGGAGCGCCTGTGCCGAAATCACAGGCTTCCAGATCTTGCAGAGCTTCTCCAGGTGTTTTCATAAAATAAGATGGGATTTCTCTGTGCATTCTTCTTGCCGCTTGAGTAGCTTAGGCCACAGCAGAACCTTCAGGTTCCAAAATGTTTTTGCAGGGTCGCCAAACAAGCCCCCACCAAAGTGCAAACAATACTACCCTCCGACCACCAGAAGAATCAAGAAGAAGACCAGCAGTACATAAGTGGATGCAGTATTGCGGGTACATACTGGAAGCAACATCTCTGAGCCTCAATCTCTTGCTCCACGGCCACGCATGCAGCGGCCACCGGGTTGTTCTCGATGACCTGCTGCTCTGGCGGGAGCAAAAGCACGCTTTGCTATAATCACGGGCCAATGTTACCAACAAGGCAAATCATACGCGTGGTAACCCTGGTGACTGGACCACGTGCTGAGGCTGCATCTCGACAATATTGCGGATTCATCGGATAGCAACACTGCACATGCAACCTGTAGGGAATTTGCGCTCATGCCAACCTCTGCACGAAGACGGCGGCATTCATTACACAGCTCCTCCTCGGTCCCGCTTGACGCTTGCTGTTACACCGTGTGTGTGCTTGGCACTGAACAAGGAGCTCTGTTAGCCCTATCCGAGGCATGAATTGGGCGGCCCCCCGGTCGTAAGACCAAAATATTTACATGTTCCACCTTGCCCCTGAGTGACAACCGAGCGTCAAGTCGCTCTCGTAGCGATGTCTGTGCGTGCCGCAGTGCCTGCGCAAATATGTTTCTGGAAGCCCGCAGGCTAAAGAGCGGAAAGCGCAGACCCAGACACAGTTGCCACCTCAAAGCAACAACACCTAGTACCAGAGCTTGAAAAACCAAACCGTGCTCACTTGCAGCTTGCTTCTCTGAAGCCACTGAGCAATGCAGAGCCTGCAACACGCGCTCAGATCGGAGAAGCTCCCGATTCTCTGCCTCCTGTTGGGGCCAGACACTTGCACATTTGCAACTAGCCGACCAACCAATGTTCAGTCTCTCTTTCAGCTCTCCACAAATGCAAGTTTGCTTGCATTTCATGGCTCCCAAGCATGTTGCAATGCTGCCAGCTCATCAGCCATGCTCCATGAGCAGGGCTGCAGGAGGATGGCCTTGGCCTATCTGCTTTGACGTACACAGTGTGCTGGGAATGGCTGCTGCTGCAACTTCTACCTCTCTACCACTGCTACTGGCTGCCAGTTCATGAATCTTCAGGAACAGCCGCTCAGTACATGAACTAATCGAGGGGGAGCTCGGGCCTTTCTAGCGATGATGGTTCTTCTTGCCTTTTCCATGTCCTTGTGCTCATGACCCTCTAAAACGAGCCAAGCGGTCAAGTCTTGTTCTGCTGCGGAAAAAGGTGCGGAAAGGCCAGCGCATCCTGAGCTGGAACCTCATCTTTTTTTGAATCAGCGTGGAGTCTGGCGCTCGCATGCAGCTTTCAGGGCTTCAGCGACGAGTTGTGTCCTCACCGCCTCACAGCAGCCTCCGTAGCGGGGGTAACCCCACCTGAAGCGGATCACGGCGCGAAACCAAAAAGAGCAATGGAGAGAGCTGGCAAGCAAGTCAACAGCAAGAGACAGAGGGTGTTCAACATGAAGCAAATCTAGTCGATTTTGGACATAAATCCTGCTCCCCCTCTGAGTTGCAGGCGTCACCAGCGTGCCGTCTGTGCGAACAGCTGCAAACGCGCATTCTGCAGCGTACACACGAGCCACGCCTGCATGGGGCAGAAGGTCAGTACACCATTTGACCGTAAGTGGGCAACAACTATATGGTTGCTGCACTTTACGATTTGTGTCTGTTTTTGCATGCACCGTGATTGCCTCTCTGGACCACTTGCCCCTTGAAGTGCAAGTGTGCGGTGCGTTCGATAACTATGCCAATGCAGCTTGTGGCATGGTAATTAGCTGGCATCACAAAACCAGCACACTGCAGGACCATTTCGGGCTTGCAATCTTGTTGTAAGCTGCCAGGTCAATGGTTTGAAAACGACGAAGCACGTAGAAATACACAAGTCCAGGAGTCCAATATTAATATTATTAACATTTATATTATTAATATAATTAATATTGATATTATTAATATTGATATTATTAATATTAATATTATTAAAACTAGTAATATTATTATTATTCACAGCATGAGTGCACCTCCTTGGAGCTGATGTTCCACACGGCTGCTGCTTCCTCCATACATCGGGCTGCCCCAGGTAATGACCTCAGTAGAGATCTTCCAGACATGTCCCGGCATTCCTGTGTCCCTTGTTGATACATGTTGAAACCGCAGTCCAAGTTCTGGACGGAACCATCTGAACGGAGTGCCGCAAACGCAGCTTTTGTGCAAAAGATCTCCTGCCACCGCGAACGGAATCACAAAACGTGAGTCGGCAAGCATGAGTGAGGTCGCCGTTACTTAGATGCTTGCGGTAAAGCACGACGCCCTGGTGCTTCCCCAAATGGCTTTACGCCGCCCATGCGCAGCAGCGTTGCAAGTGATTTCTCGGGATGCCACAAGTCGTGGCGCAGAACCAGCCTGCACATCATGCAGCAGGTGCTGCACTGCGTCGCCTTGGATAGGCCATGCTGCCAAACATTAGGGGAGCTCTTCTTATGGTCAGGTCTTCTGCGTCGCAAGCTCAGGCTCAGCTTTGCAGTTTCTTGGAACCGCAGGCGTAGCATGTGAAGTGCAGCGGAGCAGCTGTTCCCGCCCGCCGTAGGATCGCCCCATGTGAGAACCTCGTGAGGGTCACGGCAACAGCTTCGTGTGCAGCGGAAGAATGTCTTTGATGCACCCGTTGCAGCACACCATAGCAAGAAGATGAAAGACATGCTGCCAGACTCCCTAAGCAAGCTGCTGCTAAGAATTCTCTCAACAGATTCAACAGTTGCCGCACTGCTGTAGGGGCCGCACTGATCCATCAAGGCAGATGGCAGCAAAAGCTTCGTGGGTCGCGAACAGGCGGCAAATTCCAGTTCGCTGGTGGTGGTCAAGACCTGAAGCAGCTGATTCTTTCCTGATGCTGCCGGCAACTAAGCAACCCGGCAGGTCTAGAGTCTAGAGGCTAGCACTTTAACTCCACAGAACAATCTGAAAGAGGGAAAAGAGTCAGTGCATCTCACCTCACACCTCTTGGGGCTACCAGTGGCAAGTACAAGCCTGCAAGCACATGCAAACACAAGTAATGTTGCACCCGATTATGCATGGCTACCTGCAATTGCGTCGAGTTTCTGGGAAGTATTCAGGACAGGGAAATTTGGGGGGTATCCGTCAAGTTTGGGGGGCCAAAATAAAAAGTTATAGGTTTGAAAACATAAAACATCGAGTTGTCATTAGTAATTATTCTAATACTAATACTGATTCTAATACTACTAACACTTATACCATTACGATTCAGCTCAGACCCTCAAACAATTTTGATTCAGGATGCCCTAAATCGTTTGGGGAGTCTATATTCAAGATGGTGCAACATCATACAATACCCAAACTCCAAACACGGAATGAATAGTGAAAGTGGCGACTTCGGCTCTGCTGAACTATGGCAAGGAGGAGGTATAGCTGAATTGAAACTGAGCATGCGGTCAATGCCATCTTACTGAAAAGCTTTGCCGCAATCCAAACGAAAGTTACTCACAAAAGAGATGCCATGAAACAAGCTTGAACCGCTCAGAATCCCACAAGACCCCTGGCATCTCCCAGGCATCTCCCAGGCATGCAATCCATTATTCGGCACAAGCAAACCTTGACATGCCCTCAGGCGTGTGCCCCTGAAAGACTTTGATTTGCATGCCTGAACCCATCAACTTTCCCTGCTAGGACATTCAGCCGCAAGATGCAGGAAGTGAAGCACATACTTCCAGCACGCACAGTTTTCGATGTCAAACTTGAACCACGTGCGAGCAAGAAGCAACAACCACCAGCCAGCTCGTTCCCCCAAGTCCTTAGGCAATGAGGCGAAAACATCGAACAGTTTGAATCTACCTGCTGCCACGTGCTTGTCTCACTTTTTTGAAGCAAGCTGTCACAGGTGCCTATGGAAGCTAAACATCTGAAGGGTGCTAGTGCACGTTCGTGCACAGGAAGGCTTGGCGAACCAAACTGACGTCTTGTCGAAAGCAACTATCAAGCTTGCAAAGGAACAAATTATTTAAACGCCTGAAGTTCTGCAGCTTGGCTGGGCATAGTTCTGGTTCGCTGAAATCATGAAGCGTCCCTGGACCTGGAGAAATGAGCCTCAGCCGCCCTCAGCCGCCGTTTGCCTGCAACAGGGAGCAGCGGCGTCTAAGTCTTTACACTTATTCACTGTGCTGGTTGTTATAAGCCTGCGTGGGCATTACTTGAACCCCTACCAGGCAAGGTTTACCCATGGAGTGAACGCTGCCATCATCTGCGCTCTTAGGCCTGGCCTCAACTGCTCTGGCGGCTTTTGCGCGCAGGTTTACGTCCAGAGTGCCTTGAAAAGATTCATGTTCACAGCTGATGGGGTCCATGCGCAAAAGACCAAAAACGTGCTGCCATGTGCAGCCCGATGCTGGAGGACACGCCGCCAGTTTGGGCGTAGCAGCTTGCAGCAATGACCTTAAGTCCAGAGTTGAACTGGGGAGCGCGGCATTGCAAGTTGCACTTGGAAGATTCACCCTGCGGCCGCGAAGCGTACAAGACGAGCAGATGAGCATAAAACACCTGGGCACTGGCAGCCATCAAAACAGAGGAATACTGCTGCTCAAGAAGGTGAATGCAATTCAGCGGAATTTCAGACTCACAGTGTCAGAGAAGTGGGCCCAGAGGAATGCGTCCCGCTTCAGCAATCGCTCAGTAAAGCTGCGTAGCAGCGGCTCCTGACCAGCACTGCAAATGCAAACCAAGAAGATGGTTGCCATGCGCATGGGCAAGACAAAAGTAAGAATGACAAGTCTTGTCTACCGTCACAAATTGCCACTCCACCCCAAGAAGGTTTCCCCAGCCAAGAGGGCGCCCCATCGCAATACCCGTGCTGCAAGAATTGGGGCTTGCATCAAGATGGCACCCGTGAGACTCTGCGCAACCCCGACCCCGAAAGTCCACGATGTCGCGAAGAAGACCCACAACACCGCCAGCGGGCCGCTGTCGGCTAGGCCTGCCGATCAAAGTGAAAGTTGTCAAAGATCATTTTGACCATTCGATCACTCGGTCATTAGGACCCTCTTGAAGGTGGGGGGGCTTTGGGCCTTTGCTTCGACTGTCGAGGGCTGGAGAGCCACAGAATCTTCAAAACAGGCAGGCATGTTGCATGCACGCCAGCTTCATCTCAGCCAAGAAACAAAAATATGTTCAGACAGCTTGTGATGCGCCATAAATGCTGAGTCTGGCCTTTCTTTTGGCGGCGCCTGGTAGATGATTGGGCGCGCATTAAGCTTTCGCCTGAAAAGATTATCTGTTTGCGCAGGTAGCGTGGCTTGGCGATGAAGTTGAAGATTGGTATTCCAAGCAGAGGCCATTGCACAAAAGTTGGGACATGTTGGGACACAAACATGACTGCAGCACAATACCGGCAGTTCCTGAAAGTCCGCTGAGCCCACCGAGCAGTGAGGTCATGTGTCCAAGGGGCTGCAGTGTAGAGCACTGCTGCTCAAGGACATGGATGTGCGCCTGTAGTTCTGAAACGTCCTGTGATTGCACAGATAGCTGCCTCAAGCTGGTAGCTTCAACTATAATAACAAGAACATTAGTCAACTTTAAGTGGCAGCATGTGCAAAGGCAAAGCGTTTGCTCGTGTCACTCGAACTGGTGTGCCCGACAGTCCTGCACGCTGTCAAAGCTTCCTAGTGGAATTCCTGCTCCGGATGCAGCCTGTGCGCACCACATACGTATTTCTTGAGCGAGTTTTCATTGGTAGCTGTAACACCGACTTGCGCGCAGTTAATTATAGTCTAAGGAGACAACAGGCTTCTCCACCGGTTTCTCCACTTCGGCCACTTCCTCTAGTGCTCAAAAGCTGGTCTACATGTGCAGAAACCTCGCCACTCTTGGGAACGCCCCTGCCGCACTTGGCTCTGATCTGGTCCTCTGGCTCCAGCATCCTCGAACTGGCATTTTGCAGAACCGAAGCTGCCTGCGCCTGATCCTGAGCTATACCAATAGCGGTTGGCAAGTGTAGCACAGTAGAAAGAGCATACTTAACCTCTGAGTCTTGGTCCAACTCGGCTTGGAGCTCATTGATGCCTGAGCTTGCAGTGCAGGCTCAAAAAAAATGGCTACGTTTCCATCTCTCAACGCCAGGAGGTGGGCACAAACCCATACAGCTGTATCCTGCTTCTCTAATGAAGCTTTGCCTTCCACTATGTGTTGGAAGTTGAATTACGTCTGTTCCTTGACGGGTTGCGCTGCTGAAGTTTGTACACCTGGCTCTCGTATTGATGCTGGCTTGCTGACGCCTCGGCCAAACTGCAGGACCGTGCAGGTGTCATGAAGCAGGGACAAAGCAGCCATGACAACGGAAAGAAAACTAGCATGTGGAAACAGGAGTGAGCAGCAGCCCGCGCAGAAGCGGCCAGCACAAAGCTGCTTTAATTTCTGGCCTCAGCCAGGTTCGCGGTTTCCAGCTTGCAGATCTCTCTGCGGGCAACTTCTGCCTCCGATGGGCTAAGAATAAATTGACAAATGGCTTGCAGGATTCATCAGAAATTTGGGCGGCTCCATGCCAGCTGCTGATGGGTTTTGTTGAATCTTGTTGCGCGTACTAGCCTACTGCTCTTTGAATGACGCGACAATGGTGCTCTCGCGCTTTCTAAGAACCAGGGTAATCTAGAAAAAATTCAATTGCACATTCAAGGCCATTGTGATGCCATTGTGGTACTAGTCCCTATATATACCACGATTTAGGGTGAGGTCAGGTCGCGCTAAATTTAGATTGCCCAGCAACAACACTGGGAATACATGCTAGGAACCCCTGCTCCCACCCTTTTGTATTGAAGTGGCATTCTTTCTCAAGCCAAGCCGGCAGCACTGCAGCGTCTGCTGCACAAAGATGCGAGAGAATCTCCCTCAATTCTTTTGGTAGGGTGGCCAGTGCAGTGAAATTCTGCTTGGCTGCATCCTTGAGCGAAACTCTACGACAGTGCAGGAAGAGGCGCTTGCACTCCAGCAAGGCTCTCCTGCGGAAGCCATAGGTCAAATCTCCAACCAAGGGCCGCCCCACACTTGCCAAATGAGCTCGAATCTGGTGCGTGCGTCCTGTGCGGGGATAGACTTGAAGCAACGTGAGCTCTACAGCCTCACTCAGAGAGTTGGCATCAGCTGAGTGATACCTGCCAAGCACCTTGTACTCTGTCCTGGCCACTCGGCCCTGTGCGGCAACTTCAGCAACTATTCCACCGTCGGGTAGCTGGCGCGTAGTCAACGGCTTCCTGATGACCCCCCTCGTCCCTGGGGCTCCCAAGGAGCCTTCACAAAGGCAAACGTACTCCTTGTCCACCAGGCGGCCTGCGAAGCAGCTCCGGTACCAAGCAGCTGCTGGGGAATCCTCGTGATCCAAAACGATGGGCAGCACGCCAGAGGTTGGAAAATCCAACCGCGAGACCATCGACAGGCGGCGACCAAGCAATTTAGCCAAAGCATCCACAATCATTTCGGTAGACACTCCTGCAAGCAACGCGGGCATACTTGTTATCATCTTCTATCATTCTATCCCTTGGCGAATCTGCACTCTGAGCCTAGTACCCTAACGTTGTGCCCCATCCCTCCCGCCAACATGCCCCCGTGTACTTCATGCGCGCCGCGTCAACCCCACAGAGTTCTCCCTGCAAACTCTCTGCAGCTTTTGGGTCTATGACCCGCAATACCAGGACAAGCTTTCATAAATAGCCCGTGCACGTGAATTGCTACAAGTCTCATTCGACAAATCAGAAACACCCTGCCCACTTCCCTCTTACCTTCACGTGAGCGACTTCCATCAAGCACAAGTCACCTTCACCCAAGCAATTTAGAACTGCCCCGTCCTGCTGGTTTGGAAACAGCCAGGATCCGACACCCTGTCGCAACAACTGTTAGGCCTTCCAGGGTATGGACCGACATCGCAAGCTTGGATACTGCGGCCACGGCAGCATTGACATCTTCATCTGCTTCCTGGAGAGGCAAGTCGTTCAATCGCCAGATGCTGTGGTATCCATCTAAGAAGAACTGTGCGGCATCCTTACCTTTCGTCCTCTCAACTGCGGACGTTACTGATCCGACGTGGCATCCCTTCGGGCAAAGCTGTTGGGCGCTCATTGCTCCCAGCAGTTCAATGGCCCATTCCCAGGCTTCTCCGCGAATGCAGGCATTAAGCAGTGCTCCGAAGCTTCTTGCCTCCTGACGCACTTGATGATGTGGCATCCTGCTGAAGGTCCACATTGCAACCTCCCACTCGCCAACATGCTCGCACGAGCTGATTGCGGATGTGAAGCATGCTCCACTGATCAGCTTGTTCTGAATTGAGACCTCCAGCAGAGCCAGCGCAGCTTCCCATTGCCCTCCCGTGTCACAAGCTCCAACTGCAGCTGCTAGGCTTACACAGTCAAGACCACAGTGCTTGCAGGACGCGTGTAGCACACGCAAAGCTTGCTGCCACTCACCCGCACGCCCACAAGCTGTAATTGCCGTATTGAAGCTGGCACGATCTGGTGCCGTGCCATGCCCTCCCATCTGCAAGAGCAAATGAAGTGACACTTGCCAGCAGGCTGCTTGACCACATGCAAAACTGGCAGCGTTAAAGGTAACAGTGCTCTGGCATGTTTGACCGCAGGTCAAGTCGAGTAGTTGCAACGCCTGTTGCCAGGCACTTGCGTTGCCGCAGGCTGTGATAACAGCATTGAGCGAAGCTTCCACCATCCCCATTTCCTCGCCCATGTAGTGTAACACTCCAAGAGCTGCCTGCCAATGAGCGGCACTTCCACAAGCACTTATAGCAGCGGTATAGCAGAA